TGACGATGATTGATAACAAAATAACGCTTTGTTTTCCCACAAAGATTTGGTTATTAGAAAATTTTTGGACTATCGATTTATTTATTCATCTGTTATTAACTCATCAATCCATCCATCTATGCACCAATTCTTCTATCCATACAATAATTCGTTTATTAATCCAGCCTAATTAATATTTATTCATAGATCTATTTGATCATTCATTTATCCACTCATCCATTGCTTCATGCACCATCGCATCACTTCATCCATCCATCCAACCATCCATCGACGGACCAACCCTGACCCACCAACCCATGCAGCCAACTGAACCACACCATCATGTCCACCACCACCACCTCGGCGGCGACCACACTGACCACACGGACCGCCCACAACATCAACCACATCATCTTCCCGTCACCAATCACGTTCGACCAGCGGCGCAAATCGAAAGTGAAACCAATCCTGGGAATTTACCTGCTTGGCTGGGGAGTTGGTCTCATTCTTTGCGGGGTAGCGTCGGCCATCAATTGGAATCATCATCATCACCATCATGGTGATGGTGGTAGTGATGTTCGCATCAGACGAACCATGTTAGTTTGTCATTGTTGACATATCCAATGAGTGCGGTGCTGATGATGATGCTTATGGTGCTGATGATGCTGACGATAACTAGGCATAAATGACTTCCAACATTCTTATCGTCATCCTCACCATTTTCATCATCACCACCATCATCATCATCACTTTCATCATCACTACCATCATCTTTATCACCATTTTCATCATCACCACCATCATCATCTCCATAATTTTTATCGTCATAATCACCTTCACCACCATCACCACCACCGTTGCCGTCATCTTCATCATCACGCAGTTGTTTCTTGAACAAGAGCGCTTCCCTGCTGATGATGTTCCTCCCGGCCCTCACCATCATCATCATCAACCTCATCATCTTCATTAGGTCGTCCATACTCATCAGGAAGTACGGCAAGCAGAATGACGCCGGCGGTGATGATGATGATGATGACGAGGACAGTGATGATTGTGATTGCTACTGTTATGATAATGACAACAATCTCGTCCCAGATGATTATAACGATGATGATAATGACGATGGTGATGATGATGACGACGATGATGATGAACTCGAAGCAAACAGTTATAGAATGAAGGAGATGAAATGCCCGTCATCATCATCAACACGCTACTCACTCTCCTTATCGTCCAACCGCCGTCGCCATTGTGGCCACCACCGTTGCGGTCATCACCGACGTCATGCTGCTTGTGGCGTCGGGATGAGTAATAACTCACGTGACGTCCGGGTGAGTAGCTCACGTGACGACGTTGCCGGAAGTTGCAGCAAGCTGATAGGCTCCTCCCACACGCTGCATCGTTCTGACAGTGACAATGTCTTCAACGCTCGCACTGGTGTTAATAATAATAATAACATTAATAATAATAATAATAATAACAATAATAACAATAATAATAATAACAATAATGATGTGGGAAGCAAGCCAGTCAGTGAGCATAACTTGAACGTGAACGTTAGCAACATGCACACCAGCAACATCCCATCATTCCCATCCCGTCCCATCAACCGCCTATCTAACAAATCACTCAACCAAGCAACTCTCTGCCCATCCAATCACTCAGTGAATCCTTCAACAACCGACCAATCAACCATCCAATCGACTATCCTCACGACCAATGAGGTTCGAGGATTCGGCGAGATGTACAGCGCGTGCAGCCAATTGTGTGGATGCTCCGCCCTCCTCTTCCTCTTCTGCGTCATCTGGTGCTTCGCCATGTTGTCCGTTCTGCCACACACGCCGAAACTCTCCTCACACAAGTTCAACTACAGACTTCTCTACAAGATTGGCTACTTGTGTCTGTCCATTCTAATGTCCGCTTTCATGTTTATCTACTTTTGTTTTGGAAGGTCAGACGTAAGGAGGGCTCTGATTGGCTGGCAGGTTGGCCAATCACGTCCAAGTCTTTCTGTCGTCAATGAAGTTGTCGGTGTCGGTGCTGTTGGAAGTGGTTGTGGTAGTTGTGGCGGTGGTGGTGGTAAAAGATGTGCTGCAGCCGGCAACTATGTGGTCGGTGTTGTGGTTGATGATGGTGGTGGTGGTGGTTGTCGTGGGGATAACGAAGAATTGAGTTGCCATCAACATGTTAATGATGTTGATGATGATGATGATGATTGCATTCACGGTGGAGTTGAGGATGATAATGATGATGACGATTGTGATGATGGTGATGATGACGATGATGATGATGGTGATGATGACGATGATGATGATGGTGATGATGGCGGAGAGAAAGAAGAAGTTAGTGGTTTCATGAATCCAGCTGATCAAAATGACGTTGCGAATTTTGCACAGCTTAATAATGATCATCATCTTCGTCATCATCACCGTCATAATCTTCATCATCAACATCATCATCGTAGCTGCTGTCATCGCGCTAAGGATAGAGTTGATGGCAGATGTGGTGATGATGGTGATAATTATTTTGGCGGAGCTGGTGTCGATATTGAAGATGGTGAAGATGCTGTCGAGAATTGTGGTGACGATGGTGATGATGACGTCGATGATGACGTCAAGGTTGATGCTGATGATGATGATGACCTGGTAGTGACGCGTGGTTACCTTCACCACCACCAACCAATAAACACCACTAACAACAACCACAACGACGGCAGTAGCCACATCAACTGCACTGGCAACAAGCTACTACAACATTATCAGCCACAACAACAGCAACAACATCATCATCATCCCCTATTGCAACAGCATCATTGTCAACAATTCTATAACCAAAATCCTTCACAACATCCGATCCAATTCAGCAACACAACTGGAAAATACAACAAGAACGTTTATGTTGCCAACAACAACAACAACAACAACAACGACATTTATGTAGCCGACAACAACAACAGTGACAACATCAACAACACTCGCAAGTTCCATCATGACGGAAATTACAACTGTCTTGAGGAATCAAATTTTCTTCCCCCTGCTAACAACAATAACCACATTAATTATAACATCTTTAACAACAACAACTTAAACAGCAACAACGACAACATGCAACCGGCGTTCAACAACATGTGTTGGGGATTAAGTGGACAACAATTATTTCATGCACCATTAGTAACAACAACTACATTAGTATCAACAACAACAACACACGTGCTATCAACAACATTTTTAACCGCACTAACAACAGTTTCAACATCTTCATCAACATCGGCAACACTAGCTCCAACAAATAACAAACCTGCAAGCAGTTCATTTTCCGGATCGAAGATGCAGACATGTCTGGCAACAGCAGTTGCAGCAACAACGTCTAGCCACGCAACAGTGCCAGCGTCAACATTAGCTACAACCGTCGCAACAACAACACCAACAACTTCAACAACTAAATCATTACCAGCACCAACACTCGATCAATCGGTTCATGTTGATGTCAGCTGCAACATCAACTTCCACAACGCCAAGCAGAGAGGGATTGCCAAGAAGTACTGGCAGAGAAGGAGGAAAGTTGCGAAAAATATTGCAAACACTTCCAACACTGATGCAAATGTTCCCAACAATGTTGACAACATCGCAGTCGTTGGCAGTGTTGTAGAGCCTGTTGTGAAGAGTGGCGGTCTTGTTGGAAATAATCTCAACATGTGCCTGACGAAAAGTCATCCGTTGATGGCATTAATGCCATTCGTAAGTGTCAGATTGATGCTGCGAAACGAAATGGCAACACACATTTTGTTGCCAGTGTCGTGAAGGACACTTCTCAACAAGATCAGACGACTAGTGAACATGCGGCAAACAGATTACAACTCTTCAATGTTGATGGAACCAACAACAGAATTCCATCCACTCCTTACAAGTTTGATTGCAACAACAACAACAACAATTCTATTAACGAGGTTAAAAACGTCAACAATAATGTCATCAGTACTAACAACAACAACAGCAATAGCAACTACAACAATGACTGCAACAACATCAACCATTCCTCCAATTTCTTCAGCCATCACAATAGCCATCACAGATGTTACAACAACAATGTTTTTAACCGCGAAATCCACAACAACATCAACAACAAAATCCACAACAACAACTACAAAATCCACAACAACAACATTCACAACAACGACATCAACATCAACAACAACAACAAAAACATCGACAACGTTTACAAAGACGTCAACAACAGCAACAATGTTGAGAGAATTAACAACTTTAATACCATCAACAACAACAACATCAACAACAACAACAACATAGCAATCACTCAACTACATTACAAACTGTTTACTGACAATGTTCTTAACGATAATAACAATAGTAACAACAACAACAACGACACTAAAAATAAATTAAATAATAATAATAGTAATAAATTAAATTACACTAGTAATTATTACAATGGGGAAAATAGAAATGTGCGTGATGATGATATTTGGATGAAGAATTTAAGGAGGAAAGAAAATGAAACCACGTTTTGAGATAGTTGATTGGTGGCTGGTTTGTTGATGATTGATTGATCGATCGATCGATCGATTGAAATATGGATTGATTTGTTGATTGATTGATTGGTTGGTTGGTTGGTTGGTTTATTGATTGATTGATTGATTGATTGATTGATTGATTGATTGATTGATTGATTGATTGATTGATTGATTGATTGATTGATTGATTGATTGATTGATTGATTGATTGATTGATTGATTGATTGATTGATTGATTGATTGATTGATTGATTGATTGATTGATTGATTGATTGATTGATTGATTGATTGATTGATTGATTGATTGATTGATTGATTGATTGATTGATTGATTGATTGATTGATTGATTGGTTAATTATTTAGTCGTGGTGACAATTTTATATTTATCTTATATCCATATGCACCTACTTACCTCACAGAGTCTCGTGCCTTATATGTTCATTAATTAATTAATTAATTAATTAATTAATTAAAGTAAGCAATTGATTAACTAATTAATTATTTACCTAATTTATTTGTAAACCACCCTAGCATTCAATTATTCAATTACTTTTCTTCTTAAATCGTTCTCCGATCATGTCGTTTGTCATTGAATTTTTTTACAACAGTGATAATAATTATAACTGTTATTATTATTATTATAATTATTATTTAAACTATTGTTGTTATTATCATTATTATTATTGCTTTATTATTAATATTTATATGATTTTGCTATTTGAGAATATTTTCCTTCGAACATTCATTCGTACGGAAAGTCATATTGTACAATTTTTTTTCATTCATTCGAATTAAAAAGGTCCTGTGTGTGTGGGTGTGTGCGTACGTGCGTGTGTATGTGTGTGTGTGTAGACATTGTATATATATATATATATATATATATATATATATATATATATATATATATATATATATATATATATATATTTTGGTAACAGACTGTTGTTAACGCAACATTTCAAAAATTCAACACTACTTTCAACATTGTTCAACTTTTTTATAACTTTCAACATTGTTCAACTTTTTTATATTTCTTTTTAATTTATTAATTTTAGAGAAATTAGACATTTTATTGTTTTATAAAAAATTTTTATTAAATAAATTTGCAAATAGCTATTTCGAGTTATAAATAAAATTTCGTTCGTCAACAATTTGCTATTACACGAATTTCGTCTTTTGTTAGATTTACTTAATAATTCATTGGCTAATTGTTGATTTACTTTCACATTTCATAATTGTTCTTATTTCCAAATTTCATTTATCAACATCTCAATCTCAATATGTTTATTTATTTGTGGTTTGTTTTTTATGAGGTGACAATTTAAGCCGAGGTTCAAAAATTGTTTTTCATCTATTGTCAACTAATGGCTACTAAGATTAAGGAAATGATCTTGGTGTTGTGGCAACAAAACTGGTCCGCGATATAAATTGCTAAGTTTTTTCTTAATTCGTTGAAAACAATGGTCTCGATGGCGTTCTTTGATGAAGTTGATTTCATTTAACGATCTTTCATCAATTGAAGAAATTATTTATAACTCGAAATAGCTATTTGCAAATTTATTTAATAAAAATTTTTTAAAAGCAATAAAATGTCTAATTTCTCTGAAATTAATAAATTAAAAAGAAATATAAAAAAGTTGAACAATGTTGAAAGTAGTGTTGAATTTTTGAAATATATATATATATACAAAGTATTAATTCGTTATTCAAATCTATAGCTTAAAATGCGTGTACTTAATTTGTTGTATCATTCATTCATTCATTCAATGATCCTCTGTAATCCCTTGAGGGACTGTTGAGGCCGATGGTATTCTTCTATCTCTCCAAAATCCTTTTCTTTCCTTGTTGTATCATGGTTCTTTTGTATTTCAATTGCTATTGAATTTAATTTAAATTTTCAATATTTTGGGATTCTGGCTGAATTCATTCACAAAACGATTATGTTGCGATGGTGATGATTAAGATGACGACAATGACAATTGAGATGATGGTTAAAATGATGAAGATGAAGATGAAGACGATGACAATGATAATGGTAGTGCTGTTGTGATGATGATGGTGGTAATGTTGTGAGGATGATGATGACGATGATCGCTGTACGTACAATTTTGTCTATATATTTCTAGTTTTCCTTCTCACCACCTGATGCTTACGTCATGAAATTGTGAAATTTTTAGCATAGGATTTGTTTTACGAATCTTTCATTTTTTTCATTGTAATGGTAAGTTTTTGATCAGTTTTATTAATACATTTTTCCAAAATTTGTGTTTCACGACCAGTTTGTTCATCCATCTTATATTTGATGGTTGGTAGGGAGTTGTGGCCATAAAAGGCTTGATTCGTTGTTGTTTCATTCAGTCAACATTTCATCTTCTGCCTTCGAAAATACTCGTTCGTTTATTTTTTTTGTTTGTTTTGAAGTGATTCTTTTGAGTGAATTTATGAAGACTTATTTCGGTAGTATTATCGACTTGAACTTGATCTTAACTAGTTGGCTCACTGTTGAGAGCGCGTTTTTATACAATGCACGCATGTATAATACATGTACACTTGTACATACAGTACATGAACATTTGTATGCGTTCGTACGTTTCTTATACATTTTTGTATTTTGTTATGATTCAATTATTTTAGATTGTCTGTTATATGAATCATTTTTGTTTGCCTAGTTTATATTTTTATATATATTTCTTATATTGAATTTATTTATTTACGCGCGTGATCATTTTTATTTTTATCCTCTCTCTCTAACTGTCTGTCTGTCTGTCTGTCTATCTATCTATCTATCTATCTATCCATCCATCCATCCATCCATCTATCCATCCATCCAACTTCTCGCGCCAATTCTGAACTAGCAACATTTAATCTATTTATTCCAACAATCACAATTTGGGTTCTTGATGACAGATAAGAGGTTTAATAATTTTAAAGTTAGTTTTCTGTAATAAAACGCGCAATTGTGAGTTTCTTTTAATCAAGTTGCATTTGCTTTTTTAATTTTTGATCAATTTCGTGCTGCCTCTATGTGAATGAATCTATTTATCACACTCGATTAATGTTTTCTTTATCAGCCTTTGTCGTGTAAGATATTAATTTTGAATATACAAAAACTAAATGTAAGCGTTTAAATGTATTTTTTTAGTGCCTTATTTTACAATATTTTTTAAGACTCGTTTACGTTTTGCGAGATTTGTGAGCGAATTGAATTTTTTTTAAAAAATGGTTACTTGAATTTGAACTGCTCCACGTTTTGAAATTTATTTTTCCCACCCACGTTGTGGCTCTGTTGCTTTTCAACAAACGCTATCTCAATTATTTTCTATTTTTAAATTTAAAAAAATAATTTGTTTCGAACAGTAAAAGTTGTTTAAAAATTGTAAAGTTAGTTTTTTGTAATAAAACGCGCAATTGTGAGTCTCTTTCAATCAAGTTGCATTTGTTTTTAATTTTAGTTATTTGATCAATTGTTGTTATGGCACATTTGTTTGTTTATTAAAAAGCGATTGTATTGTATATTGTATACAAAATAAATTTGTCTAAGGTCTTATGAAAATCACATATTGCAATATAAAAATGTATATTCCGAAAATAATGTAGTTTATAATTAAATTGTTGATCAGTTTTCTTCTGTTTCAGCTTCAACTTCTGCCCCGCCAGTTTCATTTTGTGCTTTTTCAAAGTAATTTGATTCCTTGTCTAAGGCTGTATTGGCTAGTACGTTGTTTCCTTTCTTCATGACGTACGCAGAATTCCGGTAATATTTCTGTAATTTGTTTCCTATTGTGGGCCTCAAGTTTATATTTCTGGCAAACTGATCTTTGGAGACCCAGGGATAACTGAGGGCTTCTTCCGCGGTCATGCGATTTGTTGGATTCGGTTCCAGTAGCATGGTGATCAATGTTTTGGCTTCTTCAGAAACGCTTTCCCATGTAGTGCTATTCAAGTCGTACTTCCCAACGATCACGTTTTCAAAAATTTTATTGAAGTCGTTGCTTCGTGAATGAAATGGAGGCGATCCATAGAGGAGGATGTACATGAAGATGCCTACGGACCAAACGTCCACCTTGTTTCCGTATCCCACCTGGAGTATGATTTCAGGAGCCATGTAGTTTGGTGTGCCGCAAACGGTTTTGAGGATTTCGTTGTTTGCTATTATCGTTGCTAGGCCAAAATCACAAATTTTCAGCTTTTTAAGACCGTTTCTATTTTTTTGCACAAGAACATTTTCCATTTTAATATCTCTATGTACTATGTTGATAGAATGCAAATATAGGATGCCTGACATGACGTTGTGTACCATACCGCTGACATCCTGTTCTGAATAGTACTTTGAATTCATTATCGTACTGATGATATCTCCATCGGTTATTAATTCCATGACAAGGTAGAAATATCCATTCATCTCAAACTCTTCTACTAATTTGATGATGTTTGCATGGTTCATCTTTTTCAAAATTTCAACCTCTTTTTTCACTTTTATCATATCGTCTGAATTTTCTTGCATATCTATTCTTTTTACCGCCGAATAAACATTCGTGTTTTTATTTCTACACAACCTTACTGTTGCGAAATTTCCTGAACTTATTTGGTTGCCAATCTCGTAAAGGTCGTTGAGTTTCTGCCAGGGCTTTTTACAGTTGGCCGTACCTTCCAGACTACTTGTCGCTTCAGAGATGTAACCCATGGACTTGCCTTCTTTGAGCATATTTATTAACGTTAGCTCTTGATTAGTTAGAAGATATTCTGTTTCGTCTATAATTTCATTTGTGAAGACTATAAACGCCGTAACTACTTTCAGCATTTCGGAAACTGTTGTCATTTCTATTCCTTCAGTATTACATAGATGGGTGATGTTCTTCAAGTTCAATAAAGTGCATAATTCTTCAATAACTTGGTTGAAGGATGGTAACGGATCCAAGCAAAATGTCCATTTGAACATTTTCCTGGGCTTGATCGGACCGTTTTTAATTATAATTACCGTTCTGTAAGAGTGCTTCTTTAGAAGGGATTTTGATCTCAAAACCGAGGTATTCGTAAGCAAGGAGTATGATCGTATCGGATGCTTGTCTTTAACCACGAGAGGCTTTGTTGGCAAGTAGTCGCAATTGTGAGTTGTCGTTTTCCAGACAGGGTTGAAAGTATCTCGCACGTAGTCCATGGGAATCAAACGGTTTGTGCTGCTACATACGTAACTTCCGCCATCAATCATGTCGTGAATGGAATTGATTTTTGTTCCGTCGAGAGCAAATATATACCTAACTCCGTGAGGTAAACGTTTTTGGTCGCAAAATACTGAAGTGTTCAGGTCTCGAATCAAAGTTCCGAAGTTTCGATAGCGAAGGGAAGATATTGGAAATTCAATCCCACTGTAATATCTGTCACCATTTCTGTAAAATTTTACTCTGATAGCTCTCCTGTCCTCTTCCACGTCCAAATTTGCTGGACACGTCGTCGTAACGACACTTGGTATAGATCGTGAGGCAAGCTTCATCTTTCTTGCTAGAAAACCTGACTGTTCCAGTAGTTTGATGTTTTTAAACGCGAATGTTTGAAAATTCCTTAAAAATAACTTGAAGAATGTATAAAGTTAAAATACAGTATAAACAAAATAAACGATGTTTTCAGAATTGTATTCAAATTCGATAGCAACGCGTTGTATGACGTCATTTGATTATATTTACATAGATCTAAATGAAAACGTTCGGCCCCTGAAAATAGTTTATAAATGCTTCGCTTTATTGAACAAAAAGGAAAGATTGTTTGTTGTATTTCATTTTTCCAGATAGCCAACCGAGTGTGCGGTTGTTTGTATTTATGTCAATGCTAATAATGTCACACACCTTGCTGACTAGCAATCTATAAAATAAAATTTTTATCGTCAAATTTATTTGCAAAATCTCAAATTGTTTGAATTGCTGTGTGAAATGTCAATTTCTATACAAATAAAAAAAACTCGCTGAGAAGTTGACATTATGTATATGTAAGCGATAGATGTTAACTTCATTATTGGCTGCAAATTATCGGTAAAACAGTGAAGGCACCTAGTGAATATAATGACAAATAAAAAATGATTGTTTGCTACATTTACATGATTACTTTAAATTCCAGAACGTTTTCTTCTATAATATTTAAAATAATTTAAAAAAGAAATAAAATAATTCGAAACATAAATGAGTGTTAATTACGTACGAATATTAACAACGTACGTGCAAGTATTCATTTTTAAGATAATGCTGAACAACACATAGTATAGTGTAGGCGCTGTATATGAACATTAACGTTTGTAGGAAGTGTTCTTTTTGCATATGAAATGTATTATACGCACTTTTAAATAAAAAACAATATTATTGAAAAACAGTAAAACAAATTATGGATGAAGGAATACTTTTAAAGGCTTTTGGTGTTGCATTGGTTCGAGTTTGTGAGTTAAACATTAATTTCATTTTCTCAGTAGGTACCAGGTTTACATTTCTGTTTTTTCGTTCTCGTTGGTGTGCGTTCATGATTGCAGATGTAAGTTAGTGTGGTAAAGAAATGTGCTTACCTACAATTGTGTTGCGCTGAATAGGGTGTGTGTGTACATGAAAGCGCATGTTTCCATACGAAAAGGTTATGGTGTGGTGTGGTGTGGTAAGAATTCCCATAAATGCTCGTAATGGAAAATTGTATAACAAAAAGTAAACAATTTACAATGGAATTAATGGTTAACATGTAAATGCGAAAAACTTTTTTTAAATGTTCAAATTCCTCAGATGATAGCTCATGACGACGCTGGTCCACCTCACATATTTCATCGTGGTTCAGTATTAAAATTTACTAAACTATAACGCTAAACAACCGTTTAAAAATCAATAGTGTTCAAAATAAGATAAATCGGTCCACTATTATTGAATATAGTGAGGCGATTTTATTGAGCACCTGAAAATAAAGCTTGTATATGAATGATTAATTTCTTTTAAAGACAACCCCCTCTTTTAACTTTTGACTCTCTTGATGACTGTTTCCTCTTCCTGTTGCATCCTCCTGTTGTGCTCCGCCCTCCCTTCCCCGCCGCTCCCACTCGACGTGCTGTCTCTCCTCTTTGAAGATTCCTTGTTCGTGACGGAGTCCAGGTAGTACTCCCACAGACCGGAAAGAAGTTGGGATGCGATGAGGTCACTCGAGTTCTTGGCTACCAATCGAGTGATGAAGCAGCCATCTCTTCTGAGGTGCTCTGTCACGAACGACCTTGTGGTTGAAATTAAGGTCAAGTTCAAGGTCAAGTTCAAAGTTTGTTCATGTTTGTTTGATGAATGCTGCTGGTGGTTTAAACTTGTTTAATTATATCTCATAGAATGATTTCTCTAACAAAGTTTCAAATGCATCACATATTTATAATTTGTGTTAATATTGGAGATGACCAAAAAGTAATATCCGAGTTTCAAACAATTAATGAAAGAATAATTTTGAGGCCTGAATAAATTTAACCAACTTTTGAAATTCAAACTAAATTACCAGACAAACAACCAGTCCTAAGTTCGAGAAAAAAAGTGGAAGATAATTCATTTCAAGAGCCTCGAAAACCGACTAGAATTCGGCTGGACGTATACAATTATAAATAACAAAAAAATGTTACTATTAGCCAAATAATAATGGAAGACTTTTATTGCCAACAAGCCAAAAATTATTTCGTTTTAATTCACCGATCGGAGAAGGAAAGACAACTAAATTAACTAAAATAAAATCTCAAGTTTGGCAATGAGTGCATTTGTTTTAAAAGGCGTAAAGTAGGATGTGCTGGGAAAGGTTGTTTTGACGGCTACGGAAGCTGTGACGTCATTCCTCAGTGATGACGATCATCAGGATTTTACGATGATATAAGGGATACTGATGATACCGTTATTAATGATAGTAGTGACGATAACGATAGCATTCAGCGGCAGCAATGACAGTAATGATAACGATAGTATTGACGTCATCATTCTCAAGGACGTACCTAACTTGACCCCGCTGACTCTTGCTGATTTTGTTCATGGCCAATAAACGTTGTCGGATGTAGGCCTCCTGTAGAAGTTATTTTTCACAAATATAATATTAATTATACTTTTAATTGAAAACTTATATTAATATGGTATTAATTACACTTTTAATTCAAAAACTTAATATTAATATGATATTAGTTATACTTTTAATTGAAAAACTTAATATTAATATGGTATTAATTATACTTTTAATTGAAAAACTTAATATTAATATGATATTAATTAGACTTTTAATTAAAAACTTAATATAATATTAATTATACTTTTAATTAAAAACTTAATAATAATATAAAATTAATTATACTTTTAATTAAAAACATTCAATTATTATTAAATATTGTAAAAATGTTTGCCACGTCAAATTTTTTCGTTACTGTCACAGTCTATTTCAATCAATCAATCATTAATTAAATTAATAAATCAAAAATAAATTGAATTAATAAATCAATTAATTAATTAATTAATCAATTAATTAATTAATTCATTCATTCATTCACTCACTCACTCATTCACTCATTCATTTATTCATTTATTCATTCATTCATTATCTAAAATATATAACATCAACGTTTGCTAAACTATATTTTATACTTTTCTAAAAAAAACAGTCGAAAACACGAAAACCGCCAAACCATCTCATTAACTGCCTGAAGAACAAAAACATTAACAACAACGACCGACATCCAAAAAGTCAATAACAACAACAACAACTCCTCCATAGCAACAACATCTCTCCATAACAACAACATCTCCTCCACAACAACAACATCTCCTCCATAACAACAACATTTTGTTCAGAACAACAACAAAAACACAATCAACACCACAACATCAAAACGAAGCGAAGACCAACCTGATAGGAGTTAAACAACAAACGACTCTACCATTGTATATACATAAAAAACAGCAACATAACAACAACCATCCATATAAAAACTACAACAACAACAACACACTGACAACAACATCAACAAAAGGAAGACATCAACACGAGGACAGCAACAATAACATCAACACCACTACACCAACAGTACAAAACAAAGAAGGCCAACCTGATAGGAGTAAAATAGAGAGGTGAACAACCAGATGAGCAGACTACAGATGGTACTGATGGCCACGAACACGAACCAGAACCAGAAGAAGATAAAGATGATTTCGTAGAAGAGGTTCATCGGTAGGGCACACTGGATCGTGTGTCTGTGTGAGTTGCCCAGCATTCTGCGAGGTGTGCCAGTGTAATTAGTTTCATACTTTTATTTTTTAAAATTATTCTAAGTTATATTATATTTTCAGTATATTTAATTATTTTACATATCATTTCGCATTACTTGTTATACATTCTAGCAATATTGTAATACTGTATATTATATTTTAGATTTAGATTTATATATCGTATTTTATTTCTGTGTATTTGTGTGTGCGTGCGTGCGTGTGTGTGTGCGCGTGTTTTTTTTTATTTTCTATTGATAGCAACACCCCACTTACATTGCAATTGTTTTCTGTCATAATATGCTGGTACCAAATTTAATTTGAAAGCTATTATTTTTCAGCGTATTTCAGTTTTCATTGAGTTTTTTAACTGTTCTTTCTTGTATTTCTAAATCACATCCTTCTACGTAGCTTTCCATAAAATGTTTCGTCACGTTAATTAAGTTTTTTGTTTTGTTTCAATTTTCCAGGCAATTTCAAACTCAGAGTGATTTTCTTTCGTGAATGTTAACATAGATAGATAGCATAGATAACACAGATAACACAGCTAGCATAGATAACACAGATAGCATGGATAACATTGATAACAGATAAACAACACAGATAGATAAAATAAATAGCATAGATAAAAGATACATAACATAGATAAATAAATGACATAGATAACATAAATATAACATAGATAGACGAAATAAATAACATAGATAGCAACACATGTGTAACATAGAAAGATAGCACAGTTTTGTAAACAAAATAAAAATAACGTTAATGCAATAGATAACACAGATAACATAGATAAATAAATAATTAAAACATAAGTAAATAACATAGATAAAAAAGATTGATAGACAACATAGAAATAGAAATGCACGACAAAGATAGATAACATAGATATAACAGATATATAACCTAGATAGATGGCATAGATAGATTACGGATATATAAAAGAGCTAGTTAACAAACAATAAATATAAATAGATATATATCAAGATAACATAGACATATAAAACGCATAGACAGATACCACCAATATAAGTGGCTGTGTAATTTTGTGATCGGTGCGGATAGCAATACGCCACTTACATTGCAATTGTTTTCTGTCATAATATACTGGTACCAAATTTAATTTGAAAGCTAGGTCATCACTAGGCGATGAACGTACAACTATCAACTTCATCACCAAAGTATAGCAACACAGATAACCATCAAATCATCACAATCATGGTAATCATCAACATCGTTGTCGTCGTCAGAATCTTTGCCACCATCATCTTTCTCATCATTAGCACTATTATGGTAATCATCAACATTACGATTACAATCATGGTAATCATCAACATTACGATTACAATCATGGTAATCATCAACATTACGATTACAATCATGGTAATCATCAACATTACGATTACAATCATGGCAATCATCAACCTTACAATTACAATCATGGTAATCATCAACATTACGATTACAATCATGGTAATCATCAACTTTACAATTATAATCATGGTAATTAAAGGTCTATAGATCAAATGAATGATGATGAAAGAATACACTATAAAAACATGGAACAGTTCTTATGGTCTGAACAAACGAACGAAAAAACAATCAAACATGCAAACAAACAAACAAACAAGCAAATAAACAAGCAAACAAACAAACAAATAAGCACAGATCTATCCCAACATACACATACACTTTTATATACATGAACCTCGGCAACATGTGAGAACTTTCATTAAGTTATTTATATACTTTTAAATTAATGCAACGTTCTCTGATTGGAAATAGATTGGCTTCCGTTTATACACGAACAGAACTGTATGTTAATGAACATGAACGTGCAGACTTATGTATATCTTAATTGACAAACACAATCTCACAAGGACATGCAATCATTCATCCATCCATTCTTTCGTTTTTTCACTCATTCATTCATCAATCCATTGGTTTATTTATTCATTCATGCATTTATTTTGAATACAAATGATTACTAAACAATAAACAATTTCAAACAAATCTGCGTACAAACAAACAAACAAGAAAATAAACAAACAAGCAAACAATCAATCAATCAATCAATCAGTCAGCCAGCCAGTCTGTCAGTCAGCCAGCCAGCCAACTTTTTTTGAAAAGTTTTCCGACGGAGGACGACGATTTATTACTCAATCAATCAATCAATCAAACAAACGAACATCCACAATCAAACGAACCGGATGTGGAAATCGCAGATGGTGACCCTAGGAAACCTGTGCGAGGTGGTCCAGGGTTGATTGGCCAGCAGCCTCTTCAGGACGTCGATCCCGTACAAGTGGTACTCGTTGCCCAGAAAGGCGTTCAACAGGAACAACTGCCCCAACACGTTCGCTATGTACATGGCCTGCAGCGGTTGTTGGTGCTTGACTGCTTGGTTCATTCATTACTATCATTGCTATCACTATCTTTGCTTCTGCTCTTGCTGCTACTACTACTACTACTACTACTACTACTACTACTACTATTACTACTACTATTACTACTACTACCATTACTACTATTACTACTACTAACTATTACTACTACTATTACTACTACTATTACTACTACTACTACTACTACTACTACTACTACTACTACTGCAATTACTACTACTACTACTACTATTACTACTACTACTACTACAACTATTACTACTGCTGCTGCTGCTGCTACCATCCTAGTACACTGACCTTAATGAAGAGATAGAGCTCGACAAGATAGTTGCCTCTCAGCATGGTCCAACAGACGGTGAACTTACTCTTGCTTCTATAGGACTTGTTGAACTCCACCAAGAACCTCGACATGTACTTTATCACATAGCTGGTTGTGGGGCGGTGATGGGGTTGGGATTGTAGGGTAGGATTGTTGTGTGACGGTGATGGGGATGACGATGATGACACAAAGTAATGGTGGTAGTAATTAATTTCAAAACCACGTGATGGTGGTATCAGAAGGCCTAACTACGAATTGAAACAATATGGGAATGAAACGTGGTCGAGGCGTTGATGACGATGATGATGTTGTTAGTAATGATGATGATGATGTTAATAGTAATGATGAGATGATGATGATGGTGGTGATGATGACGACAATTTTATATAAAAAATCAAAAAATCATCATCTTAAAACAAAACAACAAGGACTTTATAAAGGACGGTCTGTCTATTTGAATAATAAATGATAATAATATGCCGTGTATAACTACGCATTGTATAATCACTTTACACACACACACACACACACACACACACACACACACACACACACACACACACACACACATACATACACACACACACACATAATATGAAACGAAACGAAACAAAATGTTATTTGCTTCCCAAAAATAACAATTAAGACAAATACATTCATGCATACATACACAAACTAGGGATGCACCGAAGTTCGGCCCCGGCCCCGGCCAAAATCCGGCCTTTTTTTCAAATTCGGCCAAATCCGGCCCCGGCCGGATTTGGTGACCGGATTTAGGGCCGGATTTAAGCGTCTATCAACATTTAAAAATTTTATAAATTGAAAAAAAAAATTTTATTGAATTCGATTAATTTTATGTCAATAAGTTAAAGGCTAAGCATACGTGACACATAATAACAACATCACTAATTGTGAAGTGAGCTGGACAATTTTCTTTGTGCTATAACATGGGTTATGCATAAATTATAAGCTGATCTTTGTGTACAAGAAATTGTGCACTTATATATAATAGTATATGACGATGATGCAGCTATAAAGCGCATAATTTAAGAACAATATATTTATTAAGCATTTTTTATTATTGGTGAACTTTATAAAAATGGCTGAAAAAAAATCCGGAGTATGGGCGTTTTTTGACGTTAAAACAAACGATAAATCCAAGGCAGTTTGTAAGGAACGCAATGCAGTATTGTCGCGGGGTAAGCCTGATAACCCCAAAAGTTTCTCAACGTCTTCTTTGATTACTAATCTAAGGTCAAAGCATCCACTTCAGTATGATAATATGAACAGTTTAAAGTCTTCGATTGCAGTAGCCGTAGAATGCGAAGATGCCACTTCAAATGACAGTGATGCGAGTTTGCTAGGAAATGTATCAATCCAGCCCACCCAGCCAAAGATTAGAGAAGCATTTGACAAACAAAAACCTTGGGATATAAACAATGACAATGCTAAGCGTATCCATGTGGCGATTGCTAAAATGATAGCGATAGATATGGAGCCTTACCAGGTCGTCAAAAAATCAGGATTTATCAATTTGGTGAAAACCTTGGAGAGAAGGTACAGCATGCCTTCTCGAAAGTATTTCACCGAACGTGTAATTCCTGATCTTTTTGAAAAAGCATCTTCATCACTGAAGGAGAAGGTAGCTGGAGCATTGAGCCTTGCGTTTACAACAGATACATGGACAGCAGACAACAACGGAGTCATATTTGGGATTGACAGCCCATTGGTTAACTCCTACGTTCGAACGCCAAAGTTATGTTTTGCAGTGTGTAAAATATTCAGGTCAACACACAGCAGCAAATCTACTGTCAGCGTTTGATAGGTCACTCGAAAATTGGAACATTCTACGAAACAAATGTCATTTAGTTTTGCAAGACAATGCGGCAAATATTACCAAATATTTCCGAAATGGAAACATTAAAAGTGCACCTTGTTTTGCCCACATGGTTCAACTCTGTATCAACGATGGTATATTAAGTCAACGTGGTGTTAGTGATCTCCTGAAAGTTGGACATAAATTAGTAGGCCATTTCAAACACTCGTCATCAGCCACGGATCGTTTGCACAATTTGCAAGCGGATTTAAATCTGCCAAAACACCAGTTAATTCAGGACCTCCCCACAAGGTGGAATTCAACATTCTTCATGGTGCAGCGACTGTTAGAGCAACGTCGAGCAATAACATTGTACTGTGCTGAAAATGAATCTGTTACTAATTTGTCACCAAATCAATGGTCTGTTGCTGAAATGTTGCTGCGGTTTTGGAACCATTCGAGGAGGTTACCAGAGAAGTTAGCTCATCATCAGCATCTATATCTTTGGTTATTCCAATGGTGTATCTTTTGGTATTAGCTTTGGAAAAAGAAAGTCGAGATGCTGGCATTAAAACAATGAAGGCCACACTGCTGAATGCTATCAACACCAGGTTCCAAAACATTATAAATGACCGAGTTTACAGTGTAGCCACAATGCTTGATCCAAGGTTTAAGATCCGCTTCTTGAACGATACAGCTTGTACCGAAGCGAAGGCAGGAGTTGTGCTTGCTGCCACTAAATTGTTACCTCAAAATAACAAAGAATTAGAGTCTACATTGCAATTCAGCAATCCCATGTGCAATCCCAAAAGCCAACAAAAAAAAGACGTGTTGATGAATCATCTTCAAAATTGTGGAACTGTTTCGAAGATATGTTGGAAAATGAAGTAATGAGTATTTCTAACAACAGATCACTTCAAGTTAGCATCAGTGATGAACTCTCAACTTTCTTGGGAGAACCATTGTTACAGCGACAGGAAGACCCAGCTACATGGTGGAAGTTTAACACTACTAAGTATCCAACCATATCAAAGGTTGCACAAGTTTACCTAGCACCTCCACCAACAAGTGTACCATCCGAAAGATTGTTTAGCACGGCTGGAGACATCATCACTGAGCATCGCACAAGACTGCTCCCTGACAACGCTGAGAAGCTGATATTCTTAAAATACAATGCTTCTCTTATTTAACTATTTACATGTGAAATAATAAACTTTTTTTGTACACTGGAATTTTTTTAATAAAAAACAATCAGTACTTTATGCTTTGTGTTATTTTTTGGTGTTCAACATGTAGATAACCGTAAATGTGAGTATTTTTTCTAACGTATGTAAAATAGTAACTAAAATCCGGCCCCGGCCGGTTTTTGAATTTTAAATCCGGCCAAGTCCGGCCCCGGCCGGATTTGAAAAACCTAAATCCGGTGCATCCCTAACACAAACACACACATATACATACATTTATACATAGATACACACACATACATAAATACCTACATACATACACACACATACACGCACAAATACATACACACTTAAATTTTTTATAAACACAATCAAATGCATGAATGTTGAGTTACATTAGAGCTTGCCAGGCGTAAGATAATCGAGGCAACATTATAAATTGGATCGCATTGAAATGGTTCAGTACCTGCCCATGCTGTAAAATGTTTATTTCCCTCTGCTGTAGTAGTTTTCTTTCGCCATTTCATTCATGGTGAAATGAGAACTTCATTAATTAACATGTTTAACAAACTATACGGCCTTCTAAAAAATAGAAACCGTAATTAGTTTTTGATTAGCAAAGCATGAAACAACAATAGAATGTCTGTAGCCGTGTTTCTTACATGTAGATTGATTTAAAAAAAAATCCATTTTTACACGTATCTCGCAATGATACATTCAATTACGTCGTAAAACGTTTGTTCGTATATACAATAGAGATGTATTTGAATACCAGATCAACTAAATCTTGTATGTTAATTTGAAGTTGCTTATACAAACTTATGCGCAGTGTGTTGAACACGAATGGACATAAACAAGACATGTATCAATTCATCTGTTATATTAACGTTTTACAATTACTATCATAAAAAGGAATGGGTGAACTGCTTCTCGCTGGTCAAGTTTGACTATTTGAGTATTCTTTGTGACTCTAGTTACATTTTTCCGAGTTCATTTTTCACTTTTTATATTTCAAAAAATAATTATCCCTCTTTATTTGTTTCATAATGTCGTTTAATTTACTGGCAACAAATACGAAAGAGCCAAGTTGTAACAATTTTCATCTCCTTAAAAGTCAAAGAGGATGTACATATGCTGTACTTTTAAATGGGAAAAATCTCGCCTGGGTCTCACACAAAATTGTAAAAATTTGGACTGAGAACAACTTTTTCAGCCTCCTCACAACAATGAAATCATGTTAAACATTATTTCACCGGTCTTATGAATAAAATTAGTTAAAAAATAGTAAAATGTATATAAAAGAAAGTAGTTTATTTTTAACAAATTTAAGCCCCCACAGTAAATTTCTTCTAGAGAAGTCACTGCTACTACCACTACTGCTGCTGCTGCTGCTGCTGTTGCTGCTACTACTACTACTTCTACTACCATTACAAACTAAAAAACAAATTAACTTTAATAGTTGCCAGATTTCAAACTCGGCCAAACAGCAAAATGTGGACCATGAACAAGTTCAATGTCAATTGGCTCCATCCTCATCATCATTACCATCGTCGTCATCATTATTACCCTGATCATTGGCACGATCATCGTAGCGAATCATTATCAACATCGTCGTCATCGTCATAATTATATTATTATATTATAATATTATGATATCAATAATATTAAATATTTGAAAGAACTGGAAAAAATCCTTTGAAGATGAACGAAGAACGCTTCAATGAATGTTTTCAACAAAAAAAAAATTTGGTACAAAGCGTAGGGTTCTTGAATAATAACCTAATCACACACACACACACACACACACACACACACACACACACACACACACACACACACACAACATCACAACATATCACAACTGATGGATGTTCCAAAAAAAAATTTGTTTCAGACAACAAACATACACCCTTCGTATATGAACAATTGCTGTTGTGTTGTTGTTGCGGAATACATTGAATCATTGTTTTCGTTGTAGAAGACAAGTGGCAAATATTAAATAAACGAGATGAACTTTGTGGAAATATATAAGTTTGTAACATAATGATGCCATCATATTGAGTTTGTCGTTTCGATTTAAAATCAAAATTAAATG